AATAATAATAATAATAATTAAAATTAAAAGTTGTTGAAATTTAATCAAGATTTCAATTAAGCATTAATTTTATACTAGCATTAATAATTGCCAGTATCACTTACCACCGAACCAAAATCTTTTTTCGCACATTTCTGGCCGGACCAAATTTTCTGGTAAGGGAATATTATCCATGATGGCGCAGATAACATTGAGAACGATAGTGACTCCCCATGCATAGATTGAATATATTATAAGCTTCTTTTTATTATTTGTTCTCAGATATAAACGGTGATATCTATAAAATAAATAAATGCGATTTATGTTTAGTGAATAACAATTTAATTACTATCTAATATATAATATCCAATATATAATATGCGTTCAAAAATATCTTATCTCTATCTCTTTAATCTAAATTAAAGCTTTATGAAGTAATAATCATAAAAACTCAAACATAAACACATATATTCGTATATATAATATAATATAATATTTTTGTGTATGTACTGATTTCGAATAAAACATTTTTTATGCATAAATATGTAAAAATATGTATAAACATATATAATCACCTATAAATATCAATAGACATGTATAATTATATATGAAATATGTCCATACATATTCATACATACTTCTTTCTTTTGTAAAATTACTTTTTAGTGTAATAGAAATAATAATAGTAACGTGAAAATTAAAATATGATTATAGGAATAATTTTTATACGAGTATATATATATTGTTTGTTTCAGAAAAAAACAAGTTTTGGAAAATGTAAAAAAAATTGCTCTTACATAATTATGCATAATTTTATATATAATTATACATGAATATGATGAATACATACAATGAATTTTTTTATTTTTCTTCAAACTTGATTTTTTTCTAAAACAAATAGTTGCGAAAATTATCTTTTTAATTATTTCTAATGTTTTTCTGTTAACTATTATTATTTCTATGACACTGAAAAGTAATTTTACAAAAGAAAGAAGAATGTATGAACATTTATGGGCATATTTCATGTATATAATTATACATATGAAATATGTCCATAAATATTCATACATATTTATGAATATTTATGCGTGTTTATACATATTTATACATATTCATGCATGAAAAATTTTTTACCGGATTTCAAACTATATCCTATCTTAAAGCAGAAAATTTTCTTATAAATTTCTCTATCTGATTAATCTAATTTAAATATTTTGTTTCGAAACGTTTAAGAAATATGAAAATCATTAAAATCAATTTTTTTAAATCAGTTTTTCAGCGAATGGAACTAATTCCTTACTTGTAACAAAGTTATAGTTACAAATTTTTTGGTGACTTTACTGGCACCGACGAGATGCTATTAAAGACCGACATTCTTATGGGAGTTGGCGTCCTTGTGAATATTGACGTAATTAACAATTAAAAATAATATTGTACTAATTTTATGATTTGTTAAATTAGTAGACATATTTATGCATTTAGAACTCAATAATACTTGATTTATCTTTATAATTGTAATTTCAGAGTTAAAATTGTAATTTCAAAGTGTCAAAGTTTGATTATCAACAGAGATGATAACTACAAAAAAAAAATTGTAATTTTTCTGCAATATATTAAATATTATAGCTTTACAAACATGCATATTTATTTAAGGAATTTATGTAATAAAAAAATCATGAATTTAATAATGTATGATAAACAAATATTTATGTTAATAATAGCAAATTTATATCAATTGTCGATAATGTCAGCATTCTTCAATTACCTCCGAGGGCCGTTTTTATACACCGTCAAAAATTTGCCAAGGATTGACGATCTTTAATAGTATCTCGTCGGTGTTACTGGTAACTGCGTTACTTCTTTTTATAACTGTAATTAAATTTTTCTAGTGACGATAATGAATTTTACAGTTACTTTTATCGCTACTTTGCACACGATTGGACATGGTTTGATTGGGCACAAGCCACTCATAGCGAGACAAAAAAATCTTCCCCTATTGAAAAGAAAATCACGTCACAGTTGCATGATGAAATCATATAACGTAGTGACAGGATTTTTTTCAATAGGGCCTAGACTCACTCACTGTGATTGGTGGTCGTCGATTTTAAAAAAAAGTAACGGAAATATAAAAAAATTATTTATGTATAATTTTATACAAAATTATGTATAACTATGTAAGAGCAATTTTTTTTACATTTTTCCAAACTTGTTTTTTTCTGAAACAAACAATGTGAAAATTATTCCTTTAATCATATTTATGTTTTCACATTACTATTATTATTTCTATTACAGTAAAAAGTAATTTTACAAAAGAAAGAAGGATGTATGGACAATAAAAAGATACTTTTTCATGTAATAGTAATTGTAACGAGTTACTTTTAGAAATCGGTAATTAGTAATGATAACTGTTACTTTTTCTAAATAATGAGTAACTGTAAAATTCGTTATTTTTAAAAAGTAACTTTACATTCTCTGGTGAATACTGTACGTTGTATAATATTACTTGGGCATAATCATAATGAAAATATAATGATACGTTCTTGGGTGCATTGGGAGCGGCCTATTTGCATTACAGTTCCATTGATTCAAATAACATATATAACGAGCATGCTCCCACTTGGCAACTATCAATTTAAACATCAAGTTTCATTCAATAAAAATTTTTGTAATTAATTAAATTAAATTAAATTAATTAATTACTAATTATATATGTAATTAATTTAATTAAATTAATTTAATTAATTACGAGCACACTTTATTATTTTTACCATGCGTATAATATTATATGAAACACATTGCTCACCTAAATGTCCACCAAATATCGAAGCATATTACATTTAACCAAAAAAAACTTGACAACAAAAAGAAGTAGAAGATGTATGCTGAAAAAATGAAATTAAATAATGTGTTAATCGAGCATATATTAGAATGACAATTATTTATAGTTTATAATTATTACTATATCTATTCTATTTGTGACATTTTCTTGATCTGCATGTCTGCAGCATAGCAAAATAAAAAAAAAGTGAATTTGATCAAATTAAATGCTTCACTGTATATTTTCTCTATTTAAATCAGAAAATTAACATGCAGAAATGTCAGTTATTGTATATACATAATGTATAATTCAAGATTTAAACATCTGTTAAATATTATTTTATATTATAATATTTGTTCTTTTAAAAATTTAATAATTTCCATTTTGTTAAATTATTCGAAAGAAATATTATATCTAGACTACTAATTTTATATATAAATACATATAAGCAACACATTATTGAATTACTACATCATTTCAGGCTTACTTTGAAAATAATATAACTTATAAAATGTTATTTTCGAATTATTGTTATGAATAAGTTAGGTAAAGATTACTCTATTAATTATTAAAAGTAAACTAACTTAACAATTTATTCGCCAAATAGCACTTGTGTTTCTCTTAAAGTTTTCAAAGAAATTATAATCAATATCTTCTAAAAGAGTGACATATTTTGAGTTATATTGTTCTCGTAAATAAAAGGAGAATCTTTTACAAAAAATATTTAAAATCAAGCCAGTTTTGGTGATCGAAGTTTAAAGAAATTGTTTCATTTTGAATTTAATCATTTTCAGAGCTGATCGAGATAAATACAAAAACTGTTTTGTAATGTCCTGAGTTATATCACTTTTGATAAATTATTTCGAATTTATTATAATTTTATAATGATCTCAAAATTGTCACAACTTAAAAACGATGTAAGTTTGTTGTGAAACAAAAATAACAAAAATCATATTTAATCATATTTTTAAGAATACGTTTTTAAAAGAGCTCATTATTGTTTGATTGTATTATATTATTTGATTAATCAATAATTGTTTGTCAAGTTAAAAAATAGTTTTTATCCTTTTCTGAAACTTAATTTGTTTAGTTGTGTTTTTTTAAATAATAGAACAATATAGTTTATACATACTGTACCTAGTGCAACGCAATATTTCACTTCACCTAATTCAAAAGATTGGTCAAAACACATAATCACGTATGTGATGAATAATGAACCCACGTGTGTACGCAATGTATAACTATGGATAGTCTCGAATATTGGCAATATAGAATATATTATGAACGTCAATAGCAGGAACAGCAAAGACAATAGGAGGCAAATGGATACAAAAGATACTAAAAATGTAGTCTGAACATCATCATCATCATCATCATCATCATCATCATCATCATCATACACGTCATCATCATAGACATCATCATCACAGACGAACACGCTATATTTGTTACCAAACAACATGGCAATGCAATAATCCTCTGGTAAAATGAATTTGCTATAAGTGTACAAATAGCCATTGGGGAAAAACATGTATGTATTGGGGAGAAGAAATTTGCGATCATATCCTTTTGCAACGCATGGATCACGAACAGTAAAAAATAGCTCCTCGACTGTTTCATCCTTGAAATAATTTCCGTGTTTGTTTAGGTTTAGAAAAGGGTACATGTTTGAAACAGCGTAATTTTGCTTTATGCATCGTCCCGTTATCATCATCAAGATGTCACCAAAAGGACAACAGAACTGAATACAAGTAATATTATTATTGCACGCTGTATATTCAACAAGAGTAGTATTAATTATTCCGTTGGAATTGAGTTTGTACAATATGAAATTGTCCTTGTCTTTAGTTTTGGTGAGATTTTCATTAATTTCTTGTAACGTGAAATTATTGATGTCTGTCGAATTCGCATAAAACTCCATAGATGTCTGATTATCTTCGTGATTTTTTATTATATGTTCACGAGACTCGTATCGCATCGAATCATTCTTGTAATTGTTATTTGTAGAATTAATATAGGATTCGTATTGCATTTCATCATTATTTTTAATAGAATTTTTCTGTGAATTGAACCGTGTTAATTCCATTTCCTCATTTCGATATTTCGTAGAATTTACGAAAAGATCAGACTGCATCGTCGAGTTGTTGCTCTGTTCATTGTCATTCATAAAATCATTCTGAAGTTCCGAGAACGGAACAACAAACAGAAATGCAAAACAAAGTGCAATACTTGGTGGATACATCGTTATATTATCGAATTCACAAAATCAACTTAATGTTTTTTTATGTCTTGTAAGTAAATATTTATCGTAATGTTACCAATTTTTGAAAGAAAAGTAATGGCTCCATTCTACTACGATTTTGTCTGAAAAACAAAAAATGATGTTTTTAGAGTAAGCACGTGAATGGAAGTTAGAAAAATCGATGACATTAAATGGAAGAAGGTACCTCGCAAGGCAGACTCTTCATTTACCATAATGACAAAGTGATAAAGAAATTTTGATTTTTTTTAATTTTATAGAGAATTAATTTCATATCGAGGGAGATCCAACACGATCTCTTGGGAATATATCGTAACTACTTAAAATAATTCATAAAAAAGTGATACAGCTAGAAAGATACATGCTACTGCATGATGATTTTTATCCTAGGCACAATCCATAATGTATAAAGTGACATATTATTGAAATTTCTGTTGTCAACATTAATTATATAGAAGTGAAAAGTTTGATCAAAAGTAGATGACATTAAATCACGCATCAATTAGGATAACTTCGGTATATACGCCACACCTAAAAAACTTAATTTATTAAATGTTATTTACTATTTTTAAGATAAATGAACTATTTATATTAATAAAAACTTTATACTATTATTATGAAAAAACTATTATAAATCCGAAATTATTATTATTTTTATTAAAGAATATTTTCCTTATTAAAGAAAGAACCCTTTTGAAACCCTTGTATTTTTGTCGTATATCCAATAGGAGTGAAATATACGGCTGCTCATAAGAGGAGGAGGAGGATATGTATGACTATAAAAAGTTTACAAATAATGCTTATAAATAAGACGAAAAATGACACAATAACTTATAAAATATGTTTACAAAGTTTTTTTAAGGAATAAGAATAATAAATATGTATATAAAGTAATAGATAATAATTATGGTCTTCCTATATTTTACAAGTGTTATTACATAAGGTACATATCTCATGTAATGTGTTTATTGTATTTAATGGACTGAAATCTGCGTACTTTGCTTTGGGCATAAATCCCGCCCTCTAAAAATGCTGTATATCCCAAACAGGTGGGATACGCAAGACAACAAATTAAATAAAAAAGGCAAGAGCAAAGCACTTGTATTTTGCTATACAACATGGTTTATTTATTTCTCTACACTTATATCACAAAATAACCACTAAGTCTTTTACGCGCCCTATAGTAATCATATATTTTATAAAGATTATAATTTATGATGGCGCTACTTATTACAGTGATAAATCAATTTAACTCACAATAATTTTATTAATATTAACAATAAGAAACCTTCATTATTAACACAATAATAATAATAATATAACATAAAGGCATGTAACAAAGTAATTGCTGAAAAATTATTTCCCCCCCCCCCCACACACACTCCTTTTATTTTTTCTGACTTCTGCGGCATAAATCCCAGCGTGGCGTATTTGCCGAAGTTACCTTACACCGAAAATTTATAAATTATGAGCTGTATTGATTATAAATTAAGATTGATTTGTTAATGTTAATTAAGTAAAGTACAGAAGTCTTGATATTAAATAGAGTTGTTAGATTAACAGTCAATAAGAGTCGAATAAAAATATCAAATTTAGAATAAATAATGGGAGAGTTATATGTATTGAGAAAGTTACAAGTTTCCATAATTTACACATATTCACATAATACGTTTCGGCTACGAGATTAAGAATCCACTTAAAGCTACAAATGCTTCGAAACTTTTGATTAACCAATTGGAAAAAAAATTTTCTTACTGACCAATCAAAAAATGCTTTGAAGTAGACCGTAGCCAGAGCCATCTTCAGATGTATGAATGTTTAAAAATTTAAATAAGAAAGAACACAGTAAAATTAATCGAAGAAGTTGTTAAAAGATTTTGGGAGGTCAAATAAATATTCTTCGAAGTAACAAAAATTGTTCATAAACGGTTGAAAGACTTTCCGGAGATAAACAAAATTGTTACTCTGAAAAAAATTTTTTTTATTTTTAAACTTTTATACATCTGAAAACTTATTCTCATAGCCAAAATACGTTATATGAATATATGTAAATTATGAAACTTATATTTTCTTAATACATATAACTCTTATTATTTATTCTAAATTTGATATTTTTATTCAACCCTTATTGTTCTATTAATCTAATAACTCTTGTTAATTATTTTATTTCATTTTATGTAATGTTGTTGTACTTGAATCATGATAATCACATCAATTAATTCATCATCTTATCAAATATACTGGGATGTAAGTTTTCTACAAAATTTTTAGCTACATTGTCTCTGATGTCATTCTATACTTATGACTATTATTTAAGAATTGTATTATTGGTCATACATATACACAATAAGAGTTGAAAAATTACTTTACTTGATTATCCGGTTTTTATTTCAACCGATTTATATTAAACAAGAAAATTCATAAAAAAAACATTCTTTCTTTATATTCTTTTACTTATTTAAGTATTTTTCTACAAAGTTGTAGTTACGTTATCTAGTTACAATAAAAGTAAAGAAAAAAATAATAATTCTAAAAAATAAAAAAAAGTAATTAATTTAAGTGATGCGTGCAATTTGAGAAAAATCAGAAGAGTTCCTGTATATGATAAATATGATTTTTTTCCCGGTATGTATTTATTGAAGATATAAGCAAGAAAAAATTTATGTATCATACACCTTTCCGACAAATATTAAAATCAGACTTATAAATATGTACCATTTATAACGATTATAATTGTTTCCGAGCTTAATATATAAAGATGGATAGGATAGTAAGTATAACTATATCCAATTTCACTTCCGCGATTCTTTTCCCGGTAAACGATAGCGCATGAATATACTCAGGCAACTAACAAAACTCTACTGAATGATGAGTTGTGCTGCCGTTGACGGTGGTGAAAACAGCAATCGAATCTACGCATGTATACAGGAGAAACCACATTCAACTAGCGTCGTTCAATTATCGACAGCATGCACGTTATAATCCAATAGGTATGAAATTGAAAATTTTCTTATAAGGTAAAAAGATGATTCAACGACTCTGATTCACCCTGTGTAGTAATACATACGTAGTAATAATGAAACAAAAATACTGACAAAATTTTAAGCCTCAAGAAAATTATAAAGTTAATTTGCGACGCTGTATTATTTAGTAAACAGTGCGCTATTCAACATATATCCATGAGAATGTAGTCTTATTTCATCATAATTTATCATTATATGCTTGTTAATTATAAAAATTTTATTTCAAAGTTAATTAACTTTAATCTCTGTTCAATTATCATAATTTTTGGCATTGAACATTAATGTAAGTGAAAATCCATTTAATGGCATTCACTTGACATTATTTAGACTATTTAGAGTATTTCTGTCAAAAGTCAAGACTATCGGCGTTTAACATTTTTTTTCTTTTTAGAAATTCACCTATTATATTACACATATATTATTCTTATATAACCGGAATAAATTTCAGGTTTCTATTACCATAGAAAAAAAATTAATAGAATCTCATAAAAGAATATTTGTGTGTATGTGCGTTTGTTGAATATGAAATATATCAACACTAAAATAATAACTGGAATATATATTTTTACCCACTCTCATAAAAAAGAAGCATAATAATAAACATTGATAGAACTTTTTTGTCATCAGATTTAAAACGTTAACAAAAAAAATGTCAAGTATATAAATACATTGTTAAAAAATGATTACCCTGCCAATTTGATTTTTCATACTATTAATGCACATTCGAAGATCTAATTCATAAAAGCATGAAACAGCAGATCAAATCAAAAGATAAGAAGAAGATATAGATTGTGCTTCTTGATTCGTGCTTTCTTACATACCTACAATTTCTGATAAATGTAAAAGAATAAGCAATACCTTTAACAATAAATGAGCTTCCACCAATACAAATAAATTGAACAGATTGATTAAGATATAAAAACACACTTTCCTCTCACGAGAAAAAAAAATATTCTTTACAAAATTTCGTACAAATCTTGTGGTGCATCGTATGTCGGGCAAACAGGAAGGAAACTTAAAATTATATAAAGTGTCAGATCATCGTAATCGTATAAACCGAGATACAAACACTTACTCGGTGATTATAATATAGAATTAATTAGAATATAGAATTAATTTTGGACATGACTTTGACTGGGACAATATTGCAGTACTTGTTGAAGAACATTTCCTTAATAGACGACTAATATTGGAATGCCTCATATCTTTATGCGAAAGAACAGTTTTAATTTGAGATGCAGAAAATTTACATCACACTTATCTAGATAATAAAGAACACAAAATTGTTTTATTTAGCTAATATTTTTTATTTATATAATTTCTTTGTAATTGTTTATACATTGACTTTGCTTTTTCTTTTAGTATATATTTATTTGAGTGATTGACATGTACTTAATATTTAAATTGTATTAGTCATATTCTTGATAAGCTATGTATATTTAACATGTGCTTTATAAAATTTGTTTAATCCATAAATAATTTGGAATGTTATTTTATTGTATTTATCGTTATTTGATCCAATGTTTCAAAGCGACTTCTTTCCATCCTTGGGGTGAGTCATCGATCTTCTTTCGAATTTTCTGCTTAAAAAAATTAAATTGTATTGTTTAATGTTTTACCAAATTATATAACATCAAATATCTCTTTTCTAAAAAGACAAAAACAACGTAAAACAATTATAATCTGATAGTATATACATACGTAAGATCTTCGACTGAAGAATTAAATTATGCTGCTAATTAACTATTAACTCTCATCTATAATAATAGAATTTTCTCTTTGCATTGCAACATTTATGAGTAGGATTTATGACTAATTGAACTTTGCAAGATGATTAGCTGTTAATTAGAGCGACCAATTTGTTGCATGGGCATTGTTCCGGACCTCCTAGTGGATGTAGTAGTATTCGAGACAACTATACTTTTTATTGGAATCTTAAATGGATCGCAAATCTTCCAGTCAAGTTGTTTTAATAGCGTTTGCAGGGTTTTTTTTCTACATACAAATATAATGAAAATGGTGAGACCTTGCAAGGCATTTACGATGTCAGCGGGATACCAGATAAACTGTGGTACAATATCAGTACCAATATCGACCCACGACATTATCTCCAAAACCCAAGTTATTCCCATCACTACAAACAGCTTCAAGTACATATTAAACCTGTGACCAAATATATTTTTGTATTGTTTGTCATTACAATTTGTAATTACAATTTGTAATTATAATATACACTGCTCAAAAAAAATGTGGCAAAGAAAAATTTTGGGAAAAAATTGACCAATTTTGACTGACAATAACTTTGCGAAAAATTATCGTAGGATAATGTTTTTTTTTTTAAATTAAAGCTTGAAATTTCTATTTTAATAACACTATGGCCAGATTTAATACTACTATTGTATGTTTAATACTATTATTGTAACTCCCAAAATATGAGGATGTGTGTTTGTCATTTTGAAAATTGCAAAGTTTGACGGAATGCACGGACTTCATAAAATTTTTTTTGAGAATGCTGTTTGCTGCGGTATAAAATTCGAACTTTGTTCTTTAATTTAAAAAAAAAACAAGCAACAATTTTTTTCGCAAAGTTACAACATTTTGTAAAAAATAGCCTTCGCATTTTTTACCATTGCTTATTTTCATGGCGTATGATCTCACAGTCTTTCAACAGATTAGCTATTTGTACTTTCTGATACAGAATCGTTAGTGTTGTGCAGATGAAAAAAAAAATGTTACTGATGATAGTAACACCTATGGGTACGTAAAAATATAACGTTTTAGCTTCATTTTCTGAAACAAAAAACAAATTTTTTGTATTACATTACACTAATATATGTGAATAATATGTCTATTATTCACATTATTTAAATTAAAAATTATTAAAATTTAATCAAGAGTTTAAATAAATATTAATTTTCCGCTAACGTTGATAATTGTCTGTATTACTTACCCCCAAACCAAAATCTTTTTTTGCACATTTCTGGTCGGATCAAATTTTCTGGCAGAAATGGAATATTATCCATGATGGCGCAGATAATGTTGAGAATGATAGTGACTCCCCATGCATAGATCGAATATATTATAAGCTTCTTTTTATGCTTTGTTTTTGTTCGGTACGGGCGGAGCAGATGGATATCTCTATAAAATGCAATTTATGTTTAGTCAATAACAATTAAATTATTATCCAATATGTAATATGCGTTCAAAAATATCTTATCCCTCTCTTTGAAACTAAAGCTTTGTAAACTAATAATTATAAAACCTTACACTCAAACACACATATACTAGTATATATGTATAATATAAATATTCTTAGTTAAATATTATTTTCTGTTAAATATTATTTTATGTTATTTGTTTTATGTACTAGTTAACTACACATAAGTACACATATATCTTATCTTAAAAGTAAAAAGTTTTTTTATAAAGTTTTCTATTTTAACAATTTGAATAATTTATTTCGAAGCATTTAATATGAAAATCATTAAAATCAATGTTTTGCACTTCAATGAATACCAGGGAATGGAACTAATTTATTACTTGTAATAAAGTTACATTTACAAGTTACTTTTTTGATGACTTTACTGATAACTGCGTTACTTTTTTTTTATAACTGTACTTACATTATTTTAGTAATGATAACGAATTACTTTTATCGTTACTTTGCACACGATTGAATTGAATATAAACTACTCATAGTGCAAGACTAGGAAACTCCCCTTATTAAAAAAAAATCATGTCACGCAGTTACATGATGAAATTACGTAACGTTGCGACAAGATTTTTTTCAGTAGAGCCTAGACACCCATTTGCTGTGATTGATGATCGTCTATTTAAAAAAAAAGTAACAGAAAGGTAATATAAAGTTTCTTTTTTAAGTAACAGTAACTGTAACAAGTTATTTTTAAAAATCGGTAATTAGTAATAATAATTGTTACTTTTTCTAAATAACGAGTAACTGTAAAATTCGTTATTTAAAAAAAATAACTTTCCATTGTCTGATGAATAATGAACGTTGTATAATATTACTTGCGTATAATCATGATGGAAGTAAAAAGGTGTGCTCATCGGGAATTTGCACATAGTTCAATTGATTCAAATCTTATATATAACGAACATGCTCTCACATGCCCAAGCAGAATATGCCATTATGATATCAAAATGACTCGAAAATGATCACTAAAAGTCATTTTCCAATTACTTTCGATTCATTTTAATAAAATTATTTTGACATTATTGTAACTTATTGTACTGCTTGGATAGCAACTTTCAGTTTAAACATCAAGTTTTATTTTAAAAAAGTTTAAAATTAATTTAATTAAATTAATTGAATTAATTACAACACACACACATCTTATTACTTGTACTTCTACCATGCGTATATAAAATATATTGCTTACCTAAATTTCCACCAAATATCGAAGCATATTACATTTAACCAAAAAAAACTTGACAAAAAGAAGAAGTTGAAGATATATGCTGAAAAGATAAAATTAAATAATATGTTAATCATCAAGTATATATTAGAATGACAATTGTTTATAGTTTATAATTATTACTATTTCTACTGTATTTGCGACATTTCCTTGATCTGCATGTCTGCAGCATTGCAAAGTAAAAAAAAAGTGAATTTATTGATCATTAAATGCTTTACTGTATAATTTCTCTATTTAAACCAGAAAATTATCTACATGCAGAAATAGGTGAATTATTGTATATACATAATGTATAAGTCAAGATTTAAACATCTGTTAAATATTATTTTATGTTATTTGTTCTTTTAAATATTATTTTATATTATTTGTTTTTTTTTAAATTTAATAATTTCCATTTTATTGAATTATTCGAAAGACAGAAATATTATATATATTTAGATTACAAATTTTAGATACATTACTTAAATACCAAGCGCCACTACGGTCTAAATATTGAGATATGTTGAACTATTATATAATATATATATATTCATTTAAATGAATTAATTTCAGAAATTATAACTGGGTGCCGGTGCAGTTATCGGACTTTCAACGCAATCAATCTAAAGTATTAATAATCTTCCCAAATTTAATCTTAAAAACCTATAATAAATTTACTGCGAAAAATACTACTAATTTTATATATAGGTACAGATAAGCAATACATTATTGCATTGCTATATCATTCCAGACTTACTTCAAAACTAACATAAGTTAAAAAATGTTATTTTCAAGTTATTATCATGAATAAGTTAGATAAAGATTACTCTATTAATTATCAAAAGTAAACTAACTTAACAATTCGTTCGCCAAATAGCACTTGTGTTTCTCTTAAGATTTTATTTAAATATAATCACCTTCTAAAAAAGTAACATATTTTTAGTTGTATTATTTTTGTAAATAAAAGAAGAATCTTTTTCAAAAAATATTTAGAGTCAAGACAGTTTCGGTAATCAAAAATTGAAGTTTAAAGAAATTGATTTATTTTGAATTCAGTAATGTTCTAAGTTATGTCACTTTTGATAAATTATTCTGGATTTGTTATAATTTTATAAGGACATCAAAATCATCACAACTTAAAAAAGATGTAAAAAAGCTTGTTGTAAAATAAAAATGGCAAAAATAACATTTGATTATGTTTTTAAGAATATATTCTTAAAAGAGCTAATTATTGATTGCGTTATATTATTTAATTAGTCAATATTTTTCTGTCAAGTTGAAAAATAATTTTTCGCCTTTTCCGAAACTTAATTTGTTTTAGTTGTGTTATTTTTAATTAATGGGACGAATATTATAAGTTTACGCATATACTGTACCTAGTACAACGCAATATTTCACTTCACCTAATCCAAAAACTTGGCCAAAACACATAATCGCGTATGTGATGAATAATGAACCCACGTGTGCACGTAATGTATAACCATGGATATTCTGGAATTCTGGCAATATGGAATATATTATGAACGTCAATAGCAGAAACGGCAAAGACAATAGGAGGCACATGGATACAAATATTGGAAGTATAGTCCGATTATCACAGACGAACACGTCATAGGTGTCCCGAAACATAATGGCAAAACAATAAGACTTTGGTGAAATGTATTTGCCATCATGATTATTGTACAAAGAGCCATTGGTGAGAAATAAGTAAGTATTGGGAAAAAGAAATTCGCGACCATATCCTTTTGCAACGCATGGATCGCGAACAGTCGATAATAGTTCGTTGACCGTTTCATCTTCGGAATCGTTCCCGTGTTTGTTTGGCAGAGCGTACATGTTTGGAAGAACGTAATTATCCTCTCCACGAGAGATGCATCGTCCTTTTATCGTCAAGATGTTACCAAAAGGACAACAGAACTGAATACAAGTAATACTATCATTGCACGCTCTATATTCAACAAAAGTAGTTTTAAATATTCCGTTGGAATTGAGTTTGTACAATATGGAATTATTCTTGTGTTCAGTTTTGATGAAATTTTCTTTAATTTCTTGTAACGTGAAATCATTGATCTCTGTCGAATTCGTATAGAACTCAGTAGATGTCTGATTATTATCTTCTAGATTTTTTATTATATGTTCACGAGATTCGTTTCGCACCGAGTCATTCTTGCAATTGTTCTTTGTAGAATTAATATAGAATTCGTATTGTATTTCATTATTATTCTTAATAGAATTTTTATGTAAATTGCACCTTGTTAATTTCATCTCTTTATTTTGATATTTCGTAGAATTTACAAGAGGATCAGATTGCACCGTCGAGTTATCGCTCTGCTCATTGTCATTCGTAAAATCATCCTGAGGTTCCGAGAACGAAGCAACAAGCAGAAATGCTAAACAAAGTACAATACTTGATGGACACATCGTTGAAGTATTGTAGCGTCGAATTCACAAAACCAACTGTTTTTTTTATGTCTTATAAATAAATATTTAGCGTGATGTTATCAATTCTGGAAAAAAGGGTAATGGCTTCATCCTTCAACGATTTTGTCTGAAAAATAAAAAATGTGGTTTTAGGAGTGAGCACGTGAAGGCAAGTTAGATAAATCGACATTAAATGTCTTTATATACCCGATTACTATCACACCAATATCTCACACAATTTATGATAGAGAAAAATGGGTGAACTGTGCGCACTTAATGAAAATTTATTGTTCTGAAATGGTTTTCTAAGTTCAAATTGATATAAGTATGAAAATAGAAATTATTAATATTCTTCTACCATTACATAATTTATTTGCGTACGTACTCTCATATTGAACAGATTTTCATTCAACAAGATTGTATTTGACAAAAAAGAAAAAACAGAGAGGCGAAAAATTTCTCGCACGTTAAGTAATTGTGCGCAAAGCAAAAGTCATAGGAAATGAATACATAATAATAAATTATGGAATGTTGACAAAAAAATCAGAAAATATATTTATTATGTTGCAATATAAATATATATTAAATATATTTTAAATATATATTATATTTAAATATATATTAAATATATATTAAGCAAAAATACAAAACTAATATAATAATAATGTACATAGACTTTGGCAAAATAAAATAATAATGCAAAGATGAAACAAAAAAATTACAATCATATAGTATATGGAAGAAGGGTAATTGTGCGCATTTTGAAACGCTTGCGCACAGTTGCCCGCCGCGACTTCCTCGATATGAAATACGATTACACTTCCTAATCAAACTTAATAAATAATAGCTCAAAAGACGCACATAATAATGTACTTTAATAAAATATGCAAGTTTAAACAAATAAATTAAAAATACGGATTTACCACCTTATTTTCTGAATATTAAAATAATAAGAAAAGATGTGATTTTACTTTTTTGTATTTCTCTGGTTAGCAAAACGTATTTACATCTTTTGTAATTGTATTTTAAAAGGACGATCTCCTGTGTAAAAATTTCCACGATGACATCAATATATTGGAAAAGTACCAAACCAGGATGCGCACAGTTTCCCTCTTTCCCCAACGCAGTTGCACGTTTGTGTCAATTTTCGTATAACAAATTCATCATAAAGTGTCTAAGGCCAATCTTCATAGTCGATTCTTATTTCATCGTCTTAAGTAATGTCTTAAGACGCTAATGCGGTCCTCTGATTCGTGATTTAAGATGTATTTAAGAGACGTACGGTCTTAAATATAAGATCTGATTATGAATATCGGCCTAAGTCTAATTCTAAGAACTTGCCGTTATTTGTTTGATTATTGTTTTGTAAGTGCAAAACTTTTGTTTTCAAGCAAATGTCACGATTTGACAGCTTGAGACGCCATGTTGTACTAAGAAATGGTAACAAATATATCAATTTCAAAATTTTTAGTCGTTTCTCGGCATCCATTTCACAAACACGTAGTAATGCGTATACTTTAATCCTGTTAAAGAATTTTCGAATATGTGAAAGAGAAATATATTTGTTATACAAAAATTATATGATTTAGTCGGTAATACAAGATGGCTTTAAGATCTCCTTAAGTTCTGGGATGTAAGTTTTCTACAAAGTCCTTACCTGTTTGTGATGTCATCACTTCTATACTTATGACTGTTATTCAAGGAGTTAATTATGGGTCATACCTATACAATAAGAGCTGGAAAATTACTTACTTGATTATCCACGGTTTTTATCTCAAACCGGTTTGTATTGAACAAGGAAATTTATAAGTAAAGCATTCTTTTATTTATACTTTTTTACTTATTTATGTATGTTTCTACAAAGTCGTAGTTACGTTATCTAGTTACAATAAAAGTAAATAAAAAAACAATTTTTTGTCCTAAAAGATAAAAAAAAAGTAATTAATTTAAGTGATACGTGTTATTTGAGAAAACTAAATCTAATTCCTGAATAAGATAAATGATACGGAGCTAAATGATCTTTATTTAGTTAAATAAAAGCTTTGCAAAAAGATTTGCATCACTATCACCAACTTATTAACACAATAATATAT